GGAGGTCAATGGTCAAAGGTTTAGGGCATGCATGATTATGATTACACCCCCCCCCGACCCACGGAAAGCACCAGAAAATAAACTAAGTCATACGCAGCTGTCATTCGTACGCAAGGAAGTAAGCACAAGATGCCGAACACCCTTAGCAGGATGCAGCGCACCCTTCATGCGACTCGCCGAATACCTCACGGCGCTTCGCGCTTGGTGATGTGAGAGCCTGGTCCGGTGCGAACCCGGCGTGCTCCGTCCCGGCTTTGTAGGGATGCGAGGTCAATGGTCTAACGACTTGCATAGCATGCACGACTATGAGTACACCCCTCCCCCCCCCCAACCCACGGAATGGTTGTAGATGACGTATGGAAAGAGTTCGAAATTGACGAAGGTAATGCACTGGAAACGGAAGATCTAGAGGGGTTCAAGAAAAAATATCTGCTACTTTAGCCGAGAGAGAAGAACAGAATGCAACTTAAGAACTCAAGGATAAGGAGGGTCTAGATGTGTACGTAATGTTGACAGAAGGAATAGGGTTCAAGGAGTACCTATATGGACCAATGGATGAAGGGACAAAGCTGAAGATTCAGCAAGGTAGACGATGAAGATAGGTTCAAATGTGATTGCGGTCCGAGTGCCAAGACCGGGTTCATGTAGTTGGGGAATGTCGGCTGTTTAAGGAGAGGGAAGTGCACATGACAGAGCTGGGAAGGGTAGAAGGAAGATACGGGGAGATGTTTGACGCATGGAATAGCCAGGAGAAGACGGTAGCTGTATTGGGGCATAAGAAGTGGGTTGAAAAGGCGGGAAATGACATGGATAGGATAGATAGACTATTGTAGGGAAGACATTTTTGAGCCACCTTTGGCAAAGTAGGAGGGAACGATTGGCCATCGGTGATCGGTCCTGTAGGAACAATGCTCCGTCCTCTCGAGGACGCGTGTTCAATGGTCTAACCGTTGAGGCATGCAAAACATAAGATTACGCCTCCCCCCGAAACCTGAAAGTGACGGGCAGATATGAGGGTGTGTATTTCTGGAACCATGAAATGGAGCTTCGCCTAAAACAAGGTTGCTGCTCATTTCAGGGTTCCCTGAAAATTGACCGCAGGATAGGGCAGGCGCGCCGAGAGTGTGCTGTATTGCCACCAACAACGTTAGCAAGATATGGCAAAGTCACCTCCTGGCATACAGTATTGCGAGGCTAGGCCGGCACAATTACCCTTGGCGAGTCTGTTTCTGCACCAAGTTGAATTATGCTGTTCTGGTCTTCCTTTCGGCCACCGCAGACACACCACTGTTTGGCCCACACACCTCCCATAACCAATAGTAGTTGATGGAGAGTAGCAACAGCACCAAGACCTCTGAGTTGCTTATTGTTTCGGTTCGGCTGTCTTCATTATCCCCACTCTTGGCACCACTGCTGCTTCACGCCAGTGTTGACGACTCAGGTGCTACTCAGAAAGCTGTGCATGTACAGAGGTATAACATTGTATTGTTCCAACATAGCCGTTGAAAATATATTTGCCTCTCGGCGTGTTATTCAAGTTCACGATATCACTCAGCGACAGAGCTTCAAGGGCTCCGCCATGCAAAATCTATGGTAATTTAAGTAACCCTCTACCTAGGCCCGTTCGCTAGATTCAGGAACACCCTGAGAAGCGCGTGATTGTGGAACACACCGATTTTTTTTCTTCCCCAGATGGGCATCGCTGTAGAGTAGAATGGATCACTGATCTTTGTTGTTCCTTCCTCTCGGACTTGGTTTCTTTGGATGAAGATTTGGGACATATCTGCCGGAGATCCCAGTCTGAACTACTTACGCCCGGAGGACTTCTATGTGGCGATGCGCCTGATCGCGATGGCGCAGGTAAGGCATGCCTGTATGCCTAGGAATACGCGTGTTATACGCCAGTACCTCACTTGTGTGCTCGTGCAACTTTGCCACGGCGAAAGGTCAGTGCAGTTGACGCACATGGACATTCTACAGGTTGATGGGCTGGCTATCGAATATTGTGAAGACTCTGATTTCACTCCCGTTACGTTTTTGCGGCACCGTTGAATTGCATAAAACATGTTTTCAATTGCCTACAATCCTTGCCTTTGTTCTTCTCCTGTTCTTTTTTCCAGGCCTCTCCAGGGGTGCCGATCTCTGCAGAGCGGTTAGCGCTGGAACGAACGTCATCTTTCCCACTCGCAAGGATGCAGAATGTCCCCCCTCCGCCAACAGGGTCTGTTTCACAAGGTTTAGCACTTTCGGGCGGCGCGTTAGTTGCGCATGAACCTCTGGTCGGTGCTGACCCGTATGCCATGTCTGGCCAGGAGAGGTCCAAGTATGAATCAATCTTCCCGACGTACGATTCTGATCGAGATGGATTTGTGACCGGCACGGAGGCGGTAGATCTCTTCTCCAAGTCCCGCCTTCCGCGCGAGGTGTGTAAATTACATGGTTTGGGCCGTTGGTGACAGTGCCAGATTTTGAGATATTTGCGCTAGGTTTACCCCATTGGGACTTACCCACGATGTCGAGTGATAGCTTCTTCTCCCCCGAATCAATCCTGCGGCAACACCATGAAGAATTCGGTGCAACGGGGCTTGGGCAAACTTTAGTGTGAAGCCTGGTTATCGAAGAAAACGAGCGACGCACTAACT